ACTTCTCAGGAACCTGCCGTACTCAAAAAAATAAGTGATAACATCTCTAATGTCCGGTCCCACCACCTCCCAACAAGCCTTATAAAATGCGAACGAGAAGTCATCCGGTCCTGTGCCTTATCTTCATTCATATTGAAAACCACATCCTTGATTTCATCTTCTGCAAATGGTCTCTCTAACCAGCTGGCATCCTCCTCCGTGATAGATGAAAAGTATAGTCCATCAACCTTTGGTCTCCAGTCAAACTCTTCCCGATAGAGATTTTGATAGAATCTCACCATCTAATTCCCAATATCTTACGCATCCTCATGAGTAATCCCATCTACCTCCAATATGGTGATAGAGTTATTGCGCCTGTTAGAATTAGCGACTTTATGGAAGAATTTGGTGCATTTGTCCCCCTCTTTCAATCATGTAACCCTAGATTTCTGGCGCCAGGCAATCTCCTCCATCTCCACCAGTCTCTCCAGCTCTCTCCTTAGTACTCCACGTCTCTCCCTATCCTCCCCATCCAATCATAAACCCTCCTCGCGCCTATCTAGTTCTTCAATTTCTAGGACACATTGATTTTTACGCCAATTAACATCACCCACCACCTCCCCATTCCACCTCTTGAGATCCCTCTTCAATGCTTTTAATTTTTGATCCAATACATAACTGGGAGACCCAACGAATTCATAAGATGTCCACCAATCCCTAACTCGATCCCCAAAGCCATCTACTTTAAGCCACATCTTCTCAAATCTAAAAGGCCTTCTTCCACTACATCCCATATCCCCCGATAACAAAATAGGGAAATGATTAGAATACATCCTCCCCAATCTCCCCTGAGTGACCTCTGGATATTTGGCCTCCCACTCCCCACTAATCAGGAAGCGATCTATTCGAGACAACACAGGTTGATCCCGATTAGATGACCATGTAAAGTCTCCTCCAATCAAAGGCATGCCAATCAACATATTTTCTCTTATAAAATCTGAGAACTCCATTGCCCCTGTTAGTCTCTCGCCGCTAGACCTCTCTATAGGAAATCGAACCACATTAAAATCACCCCCAATGCACGTTGGTATGTTCCACCAAGCCATCATCTCGGCCAACTCCTCCCACAATCCACTTCTACTCTCATCAACATCAGGACCGTAAACTCCTGAAAACATCCAACGGAATCCATCCCCTGTATTTCTGAACGAAAGAGATAAAGAGAATAGTCCTTCACTGACCTCCTCCATTTCAAGAACTCTAATGTCCCACATGACTAACACACCTCCAGAAGTCCCTGATGACCCCATATATTGATACCCGACATGTTGTCCCCCCATAAACTCCTAATGACGGCCCTTGAGATGAACTCCAACTTCGTTTCTTGTAAGCAAACAAGGTCTACCCTCCATCCCCTTAGCAAATTTCGTATACCTATCCTTTTCCCCGCTTCAGAGCCTCTTCACGTTCCAGCTGATTATTTTTGGGATCATCTAGACGCTCTGTCATCCCTCCCAAGCAATCATTTCTTAGACTCAACACCCTTGGCATCGTAATTTACTGACCACTCGAGCCGCTTAAGTTCACAATCTCTCTTTCTTCTTAATTTAGCCCCTCGTATATTCATCCTCCGTCCCCTACTGCCTTCCAATTCCTTAAATAATTGCAGAAGTCTACTTTCATATCCATCGCATGACACACCAACCATCTTACTGAAATCCTGAATTTTTTGAAGGACCCAATTCGAAGGTGGGGATTCATCGTCGATCGCATTTGCTTTCGTTGTTTCCTCTGCTAGGCGAAACTCCAAGGGATCACATGAATATCCCTCTACTTCCACCACTAGCTCGATATCCGTATCTGTGCCTCCTTGCTTAGCACCATCCATCCACAACACCACAACTTTGTCGGTCTCTATTTCCTTTTCTTTTAGGGGCTTAAAATGCCTTTTGTTATATGTGTTCCCTACCATGGCTCTCGAACCTGTAGCCTTGTTCTCTTTCAGTATTGTAGAGACAAATCCCTCTGTCAAAACATGTCCCATCTCTTGCTCAACTGGTAATGGTCCATTAGCCGACGATGTCATGTCCATCATTCCAAATGTCTCCTACTCCAAATTCACTATCTTCAACTTTCCTCCCTTAGATCAAGGTCTCGCCTCCTCATCTGCTTCAGAACCCGAGTTGTTATCCTCCATATCTTTAGTAAGGCCTGCTTTTGCTGATGGCTTCTTAGTTGCCAAAAGTTCTTCATCCACGGCCATCCCACACTTGTGACAAAGCATCTTGGGACCCGCTACAAATCTACATCCTACGAGTCGAAGTAGTTCATCCAACTCCCCTTTCAATGACACGAGCCCTTATTTCGGCGGTATTCACTAAATCATCAATTGAACCTTCTGCGTATGTTGCCTTGGACTTAGGCCTCATACAATTACCTTCATCTTCACTCACAGTAGCAACCTTCTCCAGTCTCCTTAGAACCCTTCGATCACTGATCTGCGGGACCTGTGTAGTCGCCGTTACTTCGGCATAGGTCATCCCTTGTCGATTTCGAGCATTCACCGTTCGACGTTTAGCCTTATCTCCAACAACAAATGAATCAACTACCACCTGAAACACCCCCGAGATCAATGCCCATCCTTCTCCATTCGTGCCTTCTGGCACCATCACAACTCCCTTCCGATGCCTACTCCCATACTGTGCTATCGTCAAGTACCTTCCATGACTGTTCGCACAACGTTGTGCCAAGAAATCTCTTGATGACTCATTGAACTTCGAGACGAAGTCCTCCAACCTACTAGTCACCCTCAACTTGTCTACCATCTTCACCATCCAAAGTGCGCCGAATCTTCCCATGCATATTGCATTAGATAACTTTGAACCCCACTTAATCATCCTAACGTCATTGTGATTGTTAACAGAAACTGCAAACTCCTTCGCCTCCACTCGAAAACGATAGTTGAATACCATGCAGTCTCCATCCATTAACTTTCTCCCCCGATTGTGTATAAACGACACATTTGACGATGGAATAGGCATCGTGGGTGGTCTGGGAGCATTCTGCAGAATTTTCACATTTTTCGATGGTGGCGGGTGGGGGACGCGTCGGCAGACGCACCATTCCGACGGCGCGTGCATCTCGCTGCCATGCATCTCTGATCGGAATCGCGTGCACAGCCCGTCGGTCAAACGCGTTTGCCTGGGAAAGGGCTGGAGCCGGCCGAACATGAGATAGGGCAGTGATACTTCCACCAGTTTCGCCGTCTCCCATGGCCCCCGTACCATCCCAGGTAGTCTCATCACCGGTCTGATTGACTGTTAGAGCGGCGATGCTAGGGTTACCACCTAGGGCCGCCGCCTGAGTGTGCGGATTTATTATTGGCGTGAGGCTGGTCTCCGGGGGTTTGCCAGGTGATGCGATTCCGTTGCCGGTGTCGTCCAGGGTCGGTGGTGACTGGGTGGTGGTTTGGTGGGTATGGGGTTGGGGTTGGGGGTGGGATTTGGATATTAGGGGAGGTTCCATTGACAAGGAAGGCTGGCAAATCTGTAGATATTGACAAATATCAAAGACTTGTGGGTAAACTAATATACTTGTCACATACTAGACCCAATATTGCATTTGCAGTTAGTGTGGCAAGCCAACATATGCATTCTCTGAAGGAAGCTCATCTAGAAGCAGTCTACAAGATACTCAGATATCTCAAGGATCCTCCGGGAAAGGATTATTCTTCAAGAAAAATGATAAAAAAGGAATAGAAATCCTCACAGATGCAGACTAGGTAGGTTCAATGGATGATAGAAGGTCAACTACTAGATATTGTACTTTTGTATGAGAAAATTTAGTAACTTGGAGAAGCAATAAGCAAAATGTAGTAGCTAGAAATAGTGCTGATCCCGAGTTTAGGGAGTAGCACAAGGGATATGTGAGGGACTGTGATTAAAGAAACTTTTGGAAGAGTTGCACGTTACAAAAAAGGTTCCAATTAAATTATATTGTGATAACAAAGCTGCCATCAACATTTTTCTTAATCCGGTTCAACATGATCGAATTAAACATGTAGATGTAGACAGACACTTTATTAAAGCGAAAGTAGATAAAGGAACTATTTGTATGACATATGTTCCTACACGGAAACAAACAGCAGACATCTTCACCAAAGGTCTATCTCGACAAAAATTTAATGATTTCATTCACAAGTTGGATAGATCAACATTTACAATCCAACTTGATGGGGAGTGTTGAAATCCTAGAGATATATGCTAATATCTTAGTCGCCTTGATTAACTATTGTATTTGGAGAAATTGTAATTATTGTAATTAGGCATGATTCTAGGAGATCAGGTAAGATTTGAGAATATTTTTTATTTCCTTATTTTAGCCCCTCTTAATACTATAAAAGAGGGCACCTGGCTGTAATGTTGTAGGAGGAATTTTTTCCTCTCTTCTCAAGTCTCTCAGCTTACAAGAGGACTGAATAGTTCAACTGGGAACCAGTCCGAAATTCAGTCAGGGTTCATATAAAAATCCAAATATTCTAAAATCACCTAAAACAAGTTTGGAACCAGTCAGTATCACTGAAAACAGGGTGACCAGGAACTGGTTTTACTAGTACATTTTCAATAAAGAAGAAAAAAAGGTTATCTAATTTTTGTTTATACCATCAGATCAACTGCAAATCGACCCTTGACCTTTACGCATTTTGGGTCAATATTCGGGGCTGGTTTTAAAATATTTATAGAAATCATTAATCACTTAGGAGTATCCTACATGCATGTTGCTACATATGGGATAGTCTCCGTCGCCCCCAACCCAACAAATTATAAACAGTAGCAGTAGTAGTAATATTTATCATGAGGTTGAAAACAATATTTATAAGGGGGGGAAAAACATCATCGGATATGGAATGAGAAGATTTCTATATAATACAATAGTTGTTTTTATGGAAAAATGTTTTACTTTTGTTAAGAATAGACAATTTTAAAATTCCAGAACCATAGACACCAAGAAATATATATTACCTTGAATAGCAATGCACGATGACGAGCCAATCCAATTGTCAAAGATCCAAGAGGTAAAACAATGGTCTCAAGATTTTCCTTCAATTTATAACTGAGATTTCTCCATGATATCAGCATGTCGTCGGGATCACTAACTGGGCCCCCCATGTAGTCAGAAACTAAAGTTGCAAGCTTCTTCACCATATTGCTAACAAAGTTTACAGAATCTGGACTTAATTCGACAGCCATCTCTATCGCTTTCTGTCCAAGGTTTGACAACTTGATGTCAGCTTCTTTATTGACAAGAATGGCTTCCCAACTAACATTCTCTGAAACTGGAATTCCTTGCAAATCAACAAGGGAAGGCATTTTTGAAGATGTGGACATGGAAATGCCATATAGGTCATAGAAACCATCCAGAATCTTGTCATCATAGCTAAGAGCACTGTAATTCTGTTAAGCATCAACAAATCTACTATATGAGATATGTTAAGAAGAAAAATAAAGAGGATACACACGTATCAAAGTGTAGAATTTCAGAAATTAATATAACCTCATTTTCTATCGAAATATCAAATATGATTCACAATTGACTCTTTATTGACTACAGATAAAATAAAAAATAACTAATTGATAACAACTAAGAAAAAACCCCTAAAATACCTCCTAAAAGATCAATCCATTAACAACTAACTTCCCTAGAAACTAGTAATTTTTATTTGAATTAATTTGATAAACTTTTCCAACATTGCCCCCTATAGAAACAGAGATAAATATTGAAGAGAATTGTCTATTCTTGCAACTCTATGAGCCCAAATATACAGTACAAACGAGGAACAAAAAAAGGAAAATTCTAACAACGAAAATATAAACTTTCTTAATCTAAATAAGGTACAAATACAATTATACAATAATATATAATCTTTCCATATATCTCAGGAATTCTACACTCCCCCTCAAATTGAATCGTAAATGTTGATCACATCCAACTTGAATATGAAATCCTCGAAGATTTGTCGAGATAGTCCTTTGGTGAAAATATTTGCAATTTGTTCTTTAGTAGACACATAGGTCATGCATATAATTCTGTCTTCAACTTTTTCTTTGATGAGAGATAGATTAGTTTGCCCACTAGTTGCTGATATCTATCCTTTTCGACTAACACTCCTGTATCTTTTACCCTTTTCCAGCATCCATTGGTGTGCCACTTGATTTGCATCCAAGCATCCCTGTTTCACTAAGAAGATTAAGAATATATTTACGTTGTGAAACACTAATCCCCTTCTTTGATCTGGCTACTTCCATTCCCAAGAAATATCTCATTTGTCGGAGGTCTTTAACCTCAAACTCTGGTGCTAGGCTCTTCTTAAGTCTCTCCAGTTCCACTATATTATCTCCAATAAGTATTATGTCATCAACATATACAATTAAGATTATCTTCATCCCAGCTTCAGATAGTTGATAAAACATAGTATGGTCTGACTACTTAATTACATTCCAGCACCACCAGAACATGAGACTCAACAAAATTTTTATCAACTGAATGTAGACATAACCAAGTTCTATTGTAACTTTGTACAATGTCCTACTAATTTCGTATCATATCAGTAAAATCGAAGTACGCTAAGCTAAGCAAATGAAAAATAACATTGACAAACATGAGATACGAAGCCTTACCCAATACCGGTATGCCACAACTTCAGCAGGAGTATCCTCAAGAGTACAAGAGCCTAAACTGATCTGTTTTACTGCTTCAATTTGAACCGCCTCAGGATCCTCCCTTGCACTCAACTCCAAAGCCAACTGTATCTGATACTCCTCTTCCCCATCAGGATCCCTTGAGTTGCTCGATTCCGAGTCAAGCTTTACTGCATCCAGATCAGAATCAAAAAGTTCCATTCTCTCACTTCTTTCCACATTGGAAGAGGATGGAGGACTAGGACTATGCCTATTTGTGACAGAATTCAACCATCCTGATATAGCTGAAAAGGGTTTGTTTTGCTCAGACCTGAAGTGTGAAAGCTTTTCATTTGGGGAACCACCACTCAACTTACTGCCCATTGATGAAGGAATAGACCCCTCTGAATCTTCAGACTGATTGGATCCCATGTGAAGTTTCTTCAAGAAGTTTTTCATATTTTTTCAATAAGTTAAAATAGTCAATGCTAAAGAATGAAAAATCTGGCCATAAATCTTTCCATTGTCTCACTCCAAGCAGTAACCGCAATCATAAATGACAGTTCACAACAAAAAGTAGTTCAGAATCTAGCTCACCCAGTAAAATCCTCAAGTCAACATTCGAGAACTCCAAAGAAAGCCCATAAAAAAACCCAGAAGAAGAAAAATCCAATCTTCTCATGGATGAAGAAAAAACCAATCTTTAATACAACCCAACAAACAAGATTGCTAGTTCATTGATTTAGCAATTAAAGAATTAACATAAATACATTAAGAATTATCTACAGCTAGACAAAGATTGATCTTCTTGCAAGGATATTCATTATTCAACAAATCAATAAAAGAGACACAGAGAGAGAGGGTCAAATCAATGAGTGCATACATTGGATTGTGTGAAGAGAGAAAATTGGTTTGTGTGTGTATGGAATAGATGGAAATATAAATTTAAAAGAAGAGAAAAAAATAGAGAGGGCAAGTTTGGAAAAAGTAGAAAGCAGCAACAGCGGCAGCAGAGATCAAGTGGTAGTAGGACCTCACAAAAGACGACCCACTCGATACTCCATGAGCCTCCAAGGACCCAATTTTAGAGGTCCAAGGGAAACATATGCACGCAGTACTGGGAAAGAAAATTAACAAGTTGCATGTGCGTCTCTCACAGTGATTATTGACGGGCTGTTTCCCGCACTAAGTTGGTAGTATTCCAAACTACGATGTACTATCTTATCTGGCTGATTTTGTCATTGGCAGAAGATTTATTTAATAGGTTTTATTGGATCGTGTTAGAAAAAAAAAATAAATAAATAAAATAGCATTTTTATAATGTTAGAGAGGTTACATACGTTATTCTAAAGCTATTGTTATAATATACTTTTGACTTATCGATTCATTACACTTGACTCTATTTGTTAAAAAGATGTGACACATCAAAATATTAAAAATATTTTGGGAAGATAGTCAATTTAGAGCAATTTATCTCAACTTGATACACGAGCAATGATCTTACTGCTCTTTATAGAGTTATTTAAGTGAAAATAGAATGATATGGCATGAGCTAATTCAAAGAGAAGATTCATTTCTTGGAGTTGTCAAGCTTTCAAAACACGGATGGAACGACATCGATTTTATAGGAGTGGATTGTTATTTTTAAATTTTAGATAATTCATCAAGATCCTACTTTATAAATCTATAATTACTTTATACACTCTCTCTAACTTCACGTATATTCACATAATATTATAGTTGAAAGGCTTTGAAAATATTATCACTCTCGTGTCATTAATTAGAATATTGAATAAACAATTTAGAAAATACATTACAAGCGGAATATTGAATAAAAAACATAGAAGGCATGAGATCTAATTTACCTAAAGTAGAAGAACATTATTTCCTTAACTGGTTGACATAGCTAGACAGAACCCATGATATTCTTCACAGAATCTTCAAAAAGATAAGATAAAATAGAGCTTTTCCAATTATTTTAGCATCATTGCCTCTAACTTAAAAAATGTAATAAGTAAATAATAAACATATTCAAACGTGTTTAAAAATAGAAAACCTCATAATTTAGATTTCTAATCTTAAAATGATTTTAGAATTATAAGAATAGCTTTGCTGTGAAATAACCAGATAAATTACTTTAATCTTTACTTGTTTACTTAGCCCATGTTCAAGTTTTAACTTTCTCAAAATTTATTTTCAATTACACATTCTTTCATAAAATAATTTTACAAGTAAATTAATTTTTTTTCTATTTTTTAACCACACATTCTCAAAAAAAATCACTCTCCTAAAATACATTTCCTTCGAGAATGGAGCTCAAACAGGAGCACATTTAACTTGATTTGAATGCAATTAATTGAGGAGGGTCGTTTGGTGGGTTGTAGCTTATGCTGAAAGTAGCATATGTATGGCAGGAAGTAATCAAAGGTTCTCATTGGATGACAATGATTTCGTTTGCACTTTGAAAAAGTTGTACTTTTCTACTAGCTGCGGTTTAATTTCAGCAGACTTTCTTGCATTCGGTTGAATTAAGGTTCCACATTTATATATTAGGTATGCTCTCCAAAGTATTCCATTCCGTTGAATTAAGATTCCACATTTAGATATTAGGTATGCTCTCCAAAGTATTCCACAATGAATAATGTTGTTTATTTTACATACACATGACAGATGGTTAATAAATGAATGCGAATAGCATTACTCTTCCACAATACATTTTTTTTCCTCATAAATCTCATCCATCATTTCTTCAATAATAAGTATAAGGCTGATTATTAGAGTCCTAATTGTAATGGGCTTTTTCTGTATCCAAAATCTAGATTAGAGTCCTAATCCAGGTTAGTGTGAAAGAGTCACACAAATTATGCTCCAAATTCTTAGTTGTAACTTGTTATGCGTTTTTTTACATAGAAACTTTCGAATTTGGAGAATACTACTCCAGATAAATTGTATTCCATCAAGTTATCTTTCAAACACACTTTAAATCAACTCAATTCAATTTTGGGAGAGAGTTTTGATGAAACATTGTCGACTGCTCAGTTGTCGCTCGCCTAGATTTAGCCTAGTGCTCTAGCAACAATAGATATTCAGCTATCTCGTTGTGCTTCAAAAACTTGGTTTTGAACCTATTTTCATCCCATACACTTTCTTCTATGCGTATCATACTCTATGAACTTCCAAAAGTTTGTTGACTCTGAATTATTCCATAGAGATCTTTCATTTGAAGATTCAAATAACTTTCATTGATTTCAAGATTCAACAACCATATTATTTGATTTCGTAGATTCATCCAAACTTAGATTTGTTGATCGAGCTATAAACCTTTACATTAAACCATGAATCAAAACAAACAAGATCTTTGATCAAATACCAAACCTATCTTCGCCAGTTAGCCCTCAGAGTTGCTGGAATTTGGGAAGAGGTTCTTAGAAATCCGGCACTAAAGAACGAGGTTCGTTCTTGAAGGGGACACATGAGATAAATGATATTAGGGGGTCAGAAGCTGGTGTGAGAAGCTTACAATGTAGGAGAGCCAAGGTTATTATAGGAATAAGGTCAAAGGGAACTAAAAGTTGGTCAGGTATGGACCATACTGTAAGTCTCATCATTTATAGTGGATTGTTGATTGGCAAAGTGCCCGAAGTTTTTGATCGTTTGCCGAGGGTTTTCTCGGTGATTATATATATGTTATTTATTTTACGCAATTTACAAACTGCGGTATTCAAACATTAAATAATTTGACTTGTTTGATCTAATTATCTAGAAATAATTAGAAAGTAATTTATTGCTTTTGATTGATTATTTCAGTATGTTAGGTCTAATTAAATATTCGACTAATCGGAACTTTCAAGTGTTATCGGAGCCTCAATTCAATTCTTGAACTTAATTTAGATAAGTTGGTCTCTTTTTGTGCCTTTATTTTTTGACGAAAGCAACTGTGCATATTGGAAGGATAGAATAAGAACCTTTCGTAAGTCTATGGATGAGTAGGTTTAAGTCAATGGACAAAATAGTTGGATTGGCCCCTCTACTACTATTTTCGGTATAGTTATCCCTACAAATATTTTCCTTTGGACTAACGATGAACTAACTAAGTGTAATTGGAATAGTAAAGGATTTCATGCCCTATTTATGGCTGTGTCCACCATCCATCGAAAAATTTTAGGATATCTTAAAGATCACAAGTTAAGAAACTGAATTCAACATTTTTCTCTGTTGCACTAATTGCTAAATTTGTTGTCATTGGCGCTCAACTAATTCTGTAAGTTTATAAATAACCGCATCCTTATTATTATCTGTGGCACTTGCTTCTTGCCTTGGGTTCTTACCATGGATGAAATACCTATTTACAAAATAATCATAGTAAAGATTGGACAATATCATTCATGAAGCATGCAAAGGCTAATATAACAAATAAAACTCACTGGCATAGCTGTGCTCTTTCATACTCTAAGATCTTATACACGGACAGTCTACAGAATTATAACTTTGCTCTGATTCAACTGTCTGTCACATTCCCTTTGTATAGATAACCATACACTTACCTGTATAGAAATAAAAATTTGACAATGCAACATAGGCATACAATTGCACATTATATTTTTTCAAAGATAAAATGAAATAAACATATTCATAATAGGGTCATTGTATATCATCACCTATTCACCTATGATCTTTATATAGCATATTAAAACAAAATACTATATCACGAAATTTCACAGAGTTACATTGATATTACAAAAGCATCTACCATATCATTTCAAAAATTATACATGCACCAGACAGGACTCCCAAAAATATAATACAACAGATTGTAAGGCCAAAACAACAACCTACGACATAACCCTACAAGTCGTCATCCATATACATCGAACTTCGAAATCCAATAAAAATACACAACTAGCCATATCATCTATGGAGTTTCATGCTCACCTACAATGCAAGAACTATAAAAGCTAATGCCCAATAAGTAAAAATCATGCATGCTATGAGTATATGTTGCCATGTCATTTCATTAAAACATCATGTTAAAATGCATCATATTGAAACATTCATCAAAGTCAACTTGAAATTATTTCATTTAAAATCATTTTCTTTTACTGGGCCCTTGACCCCCTGCTATACACTGATAGAGCTCTACGTAATATAAATATCAATAAACAATAATCCAATGTCCAATATGATATCGACACAGTCGAGTGGACCATCTCTTATAATCACCAGAAGTATATCCTCTAACTACCCCCTATGATCACTTAAGAAGTATCCCACCCACGGTGTCAATAATCATAATATCACAAAAACACAAACAAGTGGTCCGCCTTCCAGTGATCACCAAAGGCACATCCTTTATCTACCCTTACAATCATTTGGGAAGTCTCACCCGCGATGCCAAAATATATCATATAAGCATATCTCACTTGTCTTTTTTAACGATGGACATATGTCATGCATGCACGTACAAATGCTTGTGAATGGCATGTTTAATCAATATATTTTGGAGCCACATGCTCAATCATCATAGCCGTCATATGGTATGCCATGATCTTCTTATCAGTGTCATAAAAATGTTACAACAATATTTTATAGAGAATATTTTTACAAATACTATGTTCTTAGTTTTAAATGAATTTTTACTTACCTTTTCGCCTTTGCGTGTGATCTTTCTACAGTGTGTAGGTCAAGTCCCCTTTTCACCTAACATCGGAAGACAACTTGTATTACCATCTAACGATCCTCAATTCGATAACCCTAACACACAACCCATTACTATGAACATCAATGCCAAAATAGTTCGGATAATCTTATTACTTCAAGTTACCGATTGTACTCCAAAACAATCCCATAAATTCCATTATTTTCCTTGTCTAATTACGAATGTCAATGTCATCTAAATGTCTCTAACGACCTAACATTTATTAGAATTAACTTAGAGATGATTGGTGCACATCTAAATGTCGAAATTTTGCAAAATACTAAATTGAATAGAATTTTTTTGAGTTTTAGTTACTGCCATGTCCCGTTTCATCCATCTTTTCACACCCTTAATCATATTTATTCATTCCTAAGTTTTATCGCTCTTATATAACATATCTATGAAGGTAACCACGTCATGAATTCATCATAAGAATAGGTTTTTCAACCTCAAGTTATGTCTTTTTTACATGACATCGAATCAATTGACTTACT